TTTGGGTCTTCAGAGCAAGAACCAGGCCGGCACCCTTTTCACCACAAATGGTGTGCAGTGTGGGCTCCTTGTGTGGACCGAAAAGTCCCAAGCACATCAGAAAACAAGCATTCTTGTGTGTGTGTGGAATTCAGATCAGGAATGTGACAGTTACTGTTTTTCTGAGTTCCTCATTTTTGGCATTCAAAAGATGACTCGGGAGACAGCAGTTTTCCTTATGGAACCCTTGTCTATCACACAGTGTCTCTTAAAGCTGCTGCAGACTAGCCAAGACCAATTTCCCCTCTGCTTTGCTGTCATTGGTTTGTTTGTTTGAGACTTGCTCTCACTATGCAGTGAGGCTGGCCTTGAAGGCACAGCAGTCCTGCCTCAGCCTCCAAAGTGCTGGAATTATAGGTGTGCACCACTCTGCCTGGCTACAAGGTGATTTTTAATTTTTGAAAGTTGCAGTGTGCATGGCCTTGCCCCTGCCCCTGGCCCTGCCCATCAGGGGGTCCAGCAAAGCCTTGAAAGAACTCGTGATGAGTGCACAGGGCTCAGGTGTTCCATCTTATACTTCAGAATTGAAAATGCTTTCCATTCCAACAATCCAGAAAGTGATTTTGAATGGACTCTGGATAGGTTTTGTTTTTAACCTTTCCTTTTAACTCTGGGAATCAAACCCACACGTGCTGGGCAAGCCCTGCACACGGCCACCTGCACCTGCACTGTTCTATTTTTAAACAGCTGCACCCCCACTGCCAGCGCCCTTGGCCTTTTCCTGGAATTTCCACCGAAGGAGCCGTCCAGGGAGGAACTGGGGCACTGGGGCGCGCCAGGGAGCCTTGCCACGCCTACCCCAGGCAGCTGAAGAGCCTGCTTCTGCCCCTCCATCCTGGGTGCTGAGGGGAGCGCTGACTGCAGACCTGGCCCCAGCAGAGTCTGCACCTCCCGCCTGAGAGCCCCTCCTCGCTTGCTGCTTCCGCCAGTCCACATCCTGAACCACTGCCTTTTCCTTCAGGGTCAGAGTCCAGAGCAGAAGACAGAGGCCTCTCATGGTGCGGCCAGCAGCTTATCACAAGGAGAGGGGGGCAAGAAGAGGGGGCACAGAGTGGGGGGCAGGAGGGCCAGGTGCCAGGGTCTGTGACTCCAGGGTCTCCACCGCACTAGGGCTGGACCATGTGGGCCTTTAAATGGCCCAGTGCCGAGGGTCGGAGGGACACAGGGTCTGTGAGGCATGTGGCAGTGAAGCGCTGTGTTCCACCGATCTGAAAAAGACACATGTGGACTCTGGTGACTGCCATCCACACCAGGGTCCCTGCTGGGCTGGCTCTGTCTGGGACGGACTGGCAGGGGCTGTGTCTGCAGGTGCACAGAAGGGGCTCAGGATGTCAGGCAGTGGGCACGTCAGAGGTGTGGAGGAGGCAGGGTCCACTCGGAGGACACCAGCCTGGGGCCAGGTGAGAGCAGGTGGCACGCAGAACAGAGGGAGAACTGGAAAGAAGTAACACCTGAATGGACAATGCAGGTCCTGCTGGGGTGGGCAGGCCTGGAACTCCCTGGGTGCGAGAAGGCAGACTGTCACACCAATGCCTGTTTCGTCTTTCTGCTTTTTATTTATTCACGTTTTGGGGCTTTTTTGAAAGGAGGTCGCTTTGTGCAGCCCAGCTGACCTGGGACTCGCAGCGTTCCTTCTGCCTCGGCCTCCTGAGCACTGAGGCTCAGGTTGCGCCGCCATGCCCGGCTTTGTTGTTATTTTTAGTACTAACGGATCCCTGGTCGTCACTGCTCCTTTGTTTGCTGAAAGAAGCCAAAAGAGCTGAGCCCAACTCTGCCTCCCCTGCCCACCCAGGGCAGCCAGCCCCAGGCCCTACCTGCTGCCCTAACACTTGCAAACATCTGGAGCGCAGAGTCAGTGAGGGAGGATGTGCAGGAAGCTTGAACCCTGGGCAGGGCTGAGGACTCCAACATGCTGGCATCTGTGTTTCGCTTGGCTCGGTGTGGTCAGCAGCCATGGTCCCGCCGGGGTCGGATTTCTATCTGGATTCCCTCGCTGAATCCTCAGTGCCAGAGAACAGTGGGGTGGCCACGCCCCAACCTACAGTAAGGTGGGGACAGAGCCCGGACACGGTCAGTGGGCCCTGCACATGGGACCCAGAAGCCCCGAGCCACGGTGTCTGCCTCTGTTTGAGGAATGACACAGAAGTGGCTCTGACAGCACCAGCTGGTGTTGAGGAGTCCGCCCCTCAGCTGGGTCCCCCCAGTCTTAGCAGCACAGCCAGGCGGGGATCGCACTCAGCACCTCTGCCGTGGGGACCTCCCTGCCTGCCCTGGTGACGCTGGCTGCCACTCGTGCCCCACCTGCTGGGCCACTCGGCCTCTTTGGACTTGCCCATTTTTCCTTGCTGTGTTATAGCTGGCTGTGCCCAGTGGCCTGTGGGCTCTGCTGTTTGCCACTCATGGCCCCTGAGCCCCATCCCTGTGGGTCTCAGCCTGCGTCTCCCGGTCTTCATGTCTCAACCCCTTGCCTGACACTGACGTGTCCCCGTCAGCTTCCAGGAAGTTCTCTAGTGAAGAATGAATGAACCGCAGGGACCTCAGAGAACCCACAAGTGCAAAGTTACGGGGACGTCTCGTGCATTTTCCCCACTAAGAGCAGGCTCCAGAGCCCTCGGGCAGCTGTAAACGCTTAGCTTTTTAAAGGGAGAATTCTGGGGCTGGAGTGCAGCTCTGTGGTAGGACCCATTGCCTCATGTGTGGGAGCCCTGGGCCCGATCCCCAGCACCAAACACAAAAAACATTGGGTTTGGTCATTGCAGGGCTGCGGGTCTGAGCCCTCTGTGGAGACAGACAGCTCCAAGCCCTTGCGTTACCCATTGGTGGACGAGCTCTCCCGACTCGGTTTGCGCCCTGTAGAATCCTCAGGCAGCCTCTCAAGGTGCCCCTGCCACTCTGTGCCTAAGTTCTGGTGGTGCTTGTGGTACATTCTGCCCTGCAGATGCATAGGGGAGAGTGGAGCCTGAGGGTCAGGAGTGGTTCTCCAGCCGGGGCCATGTCACAGCACTCCTAGAGGTCACAGTGGCCACGCTGTCCCTGTGGGGAGTCAGGGTCAGTGAGGTCAGCATGCACCCCAGGATGGCCTCATGTGCTCAAGCAGGGGTGTGCCCTGACTGTCCCAAGGAGACAACTCTGGGTGACGCTGGGGCAACAGAGTCAGGAGCGGAGCCTGTGTGCCACCTCTGGCTCCGGTGACCATTGTGGCCATGATGCAGCCAGGAACAGCACTGCGTGCTCCAGACCCATACCTGGGCTCCACAGGGCCTCTCGAGCTGCAGGTAGCTCCTGTCCCCACTGGCCTAGGCACTCCAGGGGCCATGTTTCCATGGAGATCGGAGGACGTCCCTCAAGGCCGGCAGCCTCGGGCGCGCTCAGGAGACCCCTTTGGTTTCCGTTGCTGGGCTCGGCCCTCTCCGTGCCTGCTGGAGGCCGTGCTTCTGGTTCATCTCAAGAGCTGCTTCCGGCTTTGAGAGGGCCACGATTTACAGTCAGTTCTCTCTCCCTTCACCCAGCCCACATTACTGCCTTCTGCTTGTGTGAGCAGAGCAGGCGAGAAGCCCCTCACTCCACACCTACATGGCAGCCTTTATGGGAAAGACTCGTGGGTTGAAGGAAAGATGCATGGGTTGGAAGGATGATTGTCAGCAGGGACAGAATAAACGACAGATACCTCAGGGCAGTAAAGGAGGAATCACCAAGAGCAGAGTGTGGCTCCTACGCACGGAGGGCTTCAGCACAGGGATTCCCAGCCTCCCGGGCCTGCGCTGTGATGTTATCTTGGAAATGTCCAGATGATGTTTTCCTTAAGCCCAGGAAGAGCCACTTAGGAGGAGGGACCTTGCCACATGGTCCAGCTGCGTGCTGAATGCTCTTGGAGGAAAATTACTCTCTAAACACAGAGCTGCCCGGCCTGACTGATTGGAAGACACTGTGTCTCTGCTTACAGTGGTCAGAACCTTGGATGCACAGAGTATAAGATCAATAAACAAATTTACTGTAACCCAAGACAGGCAGCGATATTCCACTTGCATCAGAGTCTAATTCTGGGATTTCACCGGCAAATGGTTTGTGGTGACTGGAAATCAAATTGAGTTTGTGAAATAGCAGCTGGATTACAGAGCCAACCAGCGGCCTGCTTAACAGCTGGTAAAACTTTCAACATTTTGCAAATTAATTATTGCCACTTAAGGAGATACCCCCAAATCACATCGACTCTGTGTCTGCAATGTCCTGAGACGTTGGTCTACACCCATGTTGTGTCCAAGTAGTTGTTTGTAGGAAGAGTTGGGGGCTCCTGTCCCCACCCTGCCTCTGCAACACGTCCCTCTCTACCCAGCACACACTGTGTCCTCAGCCCTGACAGCACGGTGTCTGCCCCATAGAGGCCGTCCTGCCCAGTTTTGCAGATCTAAGAGTGACCCATAGCCAGAGTCCAGGTTCTCAGAAGTGACCTATTCTTTACCTTCTGCTCTCTGGGTGCCCAGGCAGCTGCAGGATAACCATCTCTTCGTCCGGAAGAAGTGACTGTCCCTAAGGTCTCCGGGTGGCATCCCCTGTGTGAGGGCAGGTGGCACTGGCCCACGCAAGGTTGCCTCAAGGTTGCTGCTCCCTTGGCATCCGAGGGCAGATATCTTGCGTCAGCGTCCCGCTCTGCCTTGCCTTTCTCCCACTCCACACATGAATCATAAAGCAACCCATGGAAAATCTTTTTATAGACGTGGACATATTGTTTCTACGCTGCTTTTCTATTTCGGGTGGAGGGAAGAGAAGAGCAGGCTGGGCCTGTGTTGGAAGCTGTGCACAGCCAGGGCAAGCCAAGGCCCCAAAGCCGGCATTTACTCCATGCCACAGTGGGCAATATGAGGGGGGCATTGAGACTCTGGGGTGCCCCATTTGTGGGAAGGGGAATGGGCCCTGAAATCAGGAGCATTGAGGGTGAGTCCCAGGCCTCTTCTTCTCCCCAGGTCACCGAGAGGCTGCTGCCACCATGACAGAGCGCTTTGACTGCCACCACTGCAGGGAGTCCCTGTTCGGCAGGAAGTACGTGCTGCGGGAGGAGAACCCCCACTGCGTGGCCTGCTTTGAGGAGCTGTATGCCAACACCTGCGAGGAGTGTGGCAAGCTCATCGGCTGTGACTGCAAGGTACCCTCTGTGCCCGCCTCCGCGCCCCATACTGGGCCTCTCCGTGTCTCCCCTGCTCTGTCCATGGGGCCCCACCTGTGGCCTCACCACACCTCCCTGCAGGCTTGGTCTCTGCCAACCTGCTGGGCACCCATGACTGCCCCAAGTCGTCTTCCTCCTTGTGTGGCTGCCCACACCCGCCCACACCAGTGCCCTCCGGGTTCTGCTGTCGGCCTCTGTTTGCCTCTGGGTGACAAATGGAGCAGGTGCTGCTCGGTAAACATTTGCAATTGGGTGTATACTGGGGAGCCCTGGGCGCCTCCCAGATAATGGAGCCCCAGAGTTCCGGGGAATAAACAGGCTCTTTTCTTCCTGGGGAGGAGGGAGCCAGGCTGGCTCCTGAAGAATCAGCAGCTTCAAATGGCGTGGAGCAGCAGGGCCATGCTGGTCCCTGTGGCCAGACCAGGGGGTGCAGGTGGAACCCTGGGATTCTCAGCCTGTCCTTAGGCTGGCCAAGGCCAGGGAGGAGGCCCTGGGTGTGTGACCGTTCAGACCCAAATCCTCCTGTGGGCAGAAGCCAGGCCTCTGGAAGGTGACTGGGTCATGGCAGAGCTGTAGCTGCCTTGCTGTTAGGAGGCAGGGTCTGGTGGAAGAGGCAGTCCCTGGGAGCAACCTGGAAGGGTGCATCTCCCTCCCTAGCTCCTCCTCTCTGTCCACTTTCTGGCCGCCATGCCGTGAGCAGCTCTGCTTCACCTAGACCCTGTCTGTGTGGCACGGTCAGCCAGCCATGGGCTGTAACCTTAAAAACCATGAGCCAACATAATCCTGTCCTCCTTTAAACTGTGAATGGTGGGTATTGTGTCTTGGTGATGAGAAAGTGACCGAGACAGGATTCTGCATTAGTCAGCCTTGTGTGACTGTGACAAAACACCTGAAGGATACAATTTACAGAAAGGGAAGGTTTGCTTTGGCTCACAGTTTCCTAGGATTCAGTCAGTGGAGTGTTGGCTCTCTTGCTGGTGAGCTGGGTGAGGCCCAGGATCCTGGCGGGGAGTGTAGGGTACACACTGACAGAAAGGGGCCAGGGTCCCTGTGTTCTTTGGAGTGCGTGCACACCCGTGTGTGACTGCCTCCCCTGGACCCCTACTCCCACCCCCATAGCAGGAAGCTGGGACCAAGCCCCTGCTGCACAGACTTTCGGGGTACTTTTAGACCAAATGGTAGCCGAGTCCTGGAGGGCTCTGAGGTCTCTAACCTCCTTACCTGCCAGCCACGGAGGGCACTGCCCAGGACATCAGGACCTTCCACAGGGCTATTGTCACCCTGGGCTGAGCCACTGGCATCTGGGCCTCAGGAGACTTCCAGGAGCTCTCAGCCTCTTTCTGTTTTCTCAAGGGCTGGGCACCAAGATCAGCTGCCCCACTGCCCATGTCTCCCTGGCTGTGTGAACCTGAGAGGACCCCTGATCCCGCTGTGCCCAACGTGTGCCTGCTGTGCCTCAGAGATGAGAGGTCTCACCTTGCAGACTGCACGCTCTTCTCCTTCTCTCTTCTTTCTGTAAAGCACTCCTCCTCCCTCCTGCCCCTCGGGAAGCCGGACACCGTGCCCTCCCTCCCTCCTTCTGATTCCAGTATGGGAAGAGCAGTAAAAGCGTCCAGTTGGAGGATGAATCCCTGGGCAAGGAAGGTGTCAGTACTTTATAGAAGCTTTACCTGCAAAAGAAGTGCTTCTGTGTGTGAGGGGCTCAGTTAGCGTAGCTGCCATTTAAAGAATGGCTTTGGCTATCCGGGCCAGACCGTCCTTGGTGGCACGCAGGATGAAAACAAAGCAAAACTCATCTCTCCTCTCTCCAGTGCGCCTCAGTGGAAAGACCCCAGAACCGGTCATCTCCCTGGAGAGATTTTATGAACAAATAAACAAGAGTCCACCATGCAGGGCCAAAATCCACAAGCTGCCGCAAAAGTCGGGAGTGAATCAGGCTGAACTTTTCAACCCAGCTCAAGATGTGTGGGGTTTGCATGTGATTTTCCTGCAGCTTAGAGCGGAAGGAGACGTAGAGTGGCAGTTAGACCTTGCCTTCGCGGTGATTGCTTGACTTTCAAACATGGTGTTGCCATTGGCTTTTTGGAGGAAGCAGTGACAGAAAGAGCCTTGCTCTTATTTCTGTAGGTAGGGCCAAAAATCCAGCCCAGGGGCGCTGGAGGGAAGAGCTGACTGGTGGGTTTGGTGGCTGTTGTCTCTGCTTGCAGCAGCACAGCTGCTGGCCACTGTGACCTCCCACTGTGTCCCCTGAAGGAACATTTGTGTGGATAATGTTCAAGTCCTGGCAGACCTGCAGAAACCAGGCTAGTTTTTAGGGTGCCACTGACTATTGCATGAGACAGGTGAGAGGAGAGCCCGTGCCAGTGTCTGCATATTTGCTGCTGTTTCTGTGCGGCATCTGGACCTCTTGCTCTCCTGCAGGGAGAGCTGCTGGGCTGCGAGGACAGAGGCACCGGTTTGGGCAGCTGGTGTCGGGCTGAGGAGGCCTGCCATTGTGGCCTTGCATCCCCTGACTGTGTTGTAGCCTTGCTGAATTTTTTCTCAGACGCATGTTGATACTAGCAGACATTTTTGGAGACTGGTTACAGATTTTCTTTAGAGGCAACCAAAGTTCTGGACTTCAGAAGTTCAGAAAACTAAAGAAAAGAGAGGCTGTCACTGTGGAGTAGTGTGCATTTAACAAACTGGTGATTTCTGCAAACCCTGGGCTCAGAGTACACAGGTCCCCAGGTGCAAACGTGTGGTGCCTCGGGAGAGGCCGCCAGCCCCTGTGTGCCTCCACAGTGCTGCAGGGGGCACAGGACAGTGATGACAGAGCTGGCTTTGTCCCTGGATTGAATCTAGGGCAGCAGGCAAGTCTGTGAGCCATTTGTCACCTCGGCCACGGGGACCGGACATGTCCCCACTGCAGGATGGAACCCTGCTGGCCCTGGACACAGCGCCCTTCTCTTTCCACTTTATGGAGAAGCCAGCGACTGCACCCCCTGATGCTGTGGTCACAGCCCACAGGAGGCGTGGAGTATGAGGTTGGGAGGTCCAAGACCTGCCTGGCCTTGCAGCTGGCCTAAGTGGAGTGGTCCCGGCTCACGGCCCTGAGTTTAACCCCAGGAGAAACCCAAAGGCATTTGGTTCTGTGCCTGGACATGCAGGATGCGAGATCTCTGGTCCCCAACTTCAGAGGGCCCAGGAAGGGAGCTTTCATCTCCAGGCTGGGCATTATAGGTTGTGATCCTAGCACTCTGAGAGACTGACATAAGAGGATCACAATTTCCAGCCCAGCCTGGGTAATTTAGGGACTTAACGAAATTTGGTTTTTTTGTTTGTTTGTTTTGTTTTGTTTTGCTGTGAAAGGCTTTATTTTCTTTTGGTCCAAGATTTGGGAGGAAGCTCCAAAGAGGTGAAAAAACTGCCTAGTGGCTGGAGGGAAAGGGTCAAGCCAAAGCCCTGATGCCAGTGATGCAGGAGCCCCTCAGAGACTGCCAGGTTCTGGGGCCTCCTAGTCAAGCTTAAGGGTGAGCCTTTCAAAGAGGTACTCACCCAGCCCAGCCAGGAGACCCGCCAGCCTGCGGAGGTTAGTGAGGTGGTCACCTATCTTCTTGATGAGCACAGACATGGGGGTCTCTCTTGGCAGAGGGCAAAGCATGAAGATCCAGAAGAGCTTGGTTCAGGCTCTTCTCCAGGGTCAGGGCTGCTTCCATAGCATCCAGGGTTTAACCCCACTCATCCTCAGAAGGCTTCTGCACGTCCTGGAAGAGTGCACGGTTGCCACTCTGGTATTGCATTTTCAGGAGACGCTCGGTGCCCTTAACAAAATTCTTATCACAAAATTCAAAATAAAAAAAAAAACAGCAGAGGGCATAGTTCAGTGTGAAGGTCCTGAGTTCGGTCCCCAACACTCTAGAAAAAAGTTCTGCCAGCTCCAGAACCTGGAGCCCGCTCTGGCCGGCTTGTTTCAGGGTGTATGGTTTATGATGCAGCGGGAATGCTGAGGCCAGGGCTCTGCTAATCTGCAGGGCAGTGGCTTCTGTGAGGTGTTTCAGGTTACCAGATGTCCTCCAGTGGATGCTGCTAGAGGCGGACACCTCTGGGCTGGGGGACTCCAGTGTGCAGAGAGGGGCTGGGGGTCCCAGGAGTGGGTGCCCACGCTGGCCCTGGCTTGAGGGAGTTGTGCAGAGGGTGCCGTGTGGGGTTTCTCAGGCCACTCCAGGAGGGACCGAGAGGACAGAGCCGGGTCTGTGGATGGCAGTGTCATGTCCCACCTGCCCGCTGCCATCCTCGGACACCAGGGCTGTGTCTATGCTGCCTCCTTCAAGCTTTCCCTCCCTGGTTTTGGAAGCTCAAGCCCAGCGGCAGGTGGGCTCCTCCAGTCGCCTCCTCTTCTCTCTTCACAGGGACCAAGTGGCCCTGCCATGCGGAACAGTACCCAGGAGAGTCCCCACCCACCCAGTGACACATACCTTCTGGGGGGCAGAGGCCTCTTCCCTCTCTCCCTGCCCTCCTGAGCAGCTGCATGTCCTCCAGGAGCAGTCGCTGCCAAGCTCCCTTCCACCAGGGCTTTGCTCGCTGTGTCTTCTCAGATCAGAGCAGTGGGCAAAGTCTCTGTGACACAGAGTGACCCTCTCCATCCCCTCAGCCTGGTTCAAAGGAGAGGGGCACAGCTCCTGGCCTTGTAGCCATGGCCACTGTCCACGCCAAGCACTGCCCGCCCTGGACCTCTGTCCCCACACCTGCCCTCCTGGCCACCTCCACATCCTCTGCCCTCCAGTCCTCCCTTCCTAAGGCTGCACAAACCCACAACGTCCCTCAGGAACCCTTGGGTGGGTCTGCGTGTGAGCCCCTGGGCATCCTGCTGCTGGGAGTGTCGTGCAGAGAGTCAGCTCTCTGCTGCTGGGCTTCAGCTCCAAGGAGGATTTGCTGTGCCACTCAGAAATTCCATTTCTAACTTTTTAAGGAACTGTCTATTTTCTGTACAAAATTAGCCTGCTAAATGCATTTATTCCACAGTCAGCGTTACATGGTGAAGGCGTGGTCAGAAATCCAGACTCTCCCATAGGCTGTGCCCAGTTCCTGGAGGGTTTGTCCAGTGTTCTCTCCTCGGTGTCACCACAGAGGCCAAGCCAAACTGGGTTTATCGGGATGCAAAATAAGCCCTGAAAGGCTGTGACCGTGTGGTTGCTTTTGAATCATTTTCACTGGGTACACACAGGTCAGGAAGGGCACTGCTCTTGTTCCTGGCCAGCTTTCAGCTGCTGTGATATAAACCAGCCCTGGGAAAGGGTGTGTGCTCGCAGCCTGTCAGAGGGGAAGGCAGGCTGCATGCTCAGTCGACGTTGTTCCGCTGTCTCCTTGAAGAAGGGTATGCTGTGGACGGGGCCTCCTTAGCAGTGATGGTGGCATGTGCCTTGGCCCTGTGGTTTCTGGACGCTCACACAGATGGGCTCGCCAGAGTCACAGTGCTTCAGTTTCACTTTTATAATCCCAAGGAGGACGGCTGGTTTCCTCTCAGGTTTCTGAAAATACTGAAAGATAACAATGCCAGAGACAGTTTGGCCTTATTTCCTAACCCCGAGCATCCACCCAGCTGTCCCCAGCCCCAGCCCCAGGCAGCCTCCACCTCAGAGAGCCCATAGCCCCCCAGCGCCACTCCAACAACTGTGTTCAAGGTGAGGATGCTGGCTTTGGACAGATTCTTGGAACTAAGACAAGAATGAGCACAGACATCAAGTCAGGCAGCGATAGTGGGACCTGAGGTTCTGGGAACACACACACACACGCATACCGCAGGACCCGGCAGAAGAGAGCTGCTCGCCTAGGTCCTTTCCAGTCAAATGGGAGTTGTGTCCTCATGTCGCCCATGCATAACTGCAGCATGCATGAGGGGGACCCTTGGGGACATTATTCTTGGAGCCATCTGTGTGGGCAGCTCCCTCCCCTGGACTTCTGGACACCTCAGGCCTGGCCGTGGCCCAAAGGCCACAGGCCGGGTCTGAAGCTCTGTGTCTACACGTTAATAGATGGGTCTAGGTCCAAGCTGGGAATTCAGACAGCGACAGGGAAGCAGCGCTCCCGACCCATGATGCAGGGTGGAGAAGTGGCTGGGTTGGCTTCCTTCGAGGTCTCTCAGAATCCTGGATGTCATTTTAAAAAGGCAGACACAGCTCCTGGGCGAGGCCAAGAGTGGCATGAGTCCTGGCACCCCCACTCCACCCTCCCTGCTCAGTGCCCCTGGTGTCCGTGCCCCTGCCCCTGCCCCACCCACGGTGCCTGGCCAGAGCCGGACATCCTCGAGTTCTCCCCGCAGGACCTGTCCTACAAGGAGCGGCACTGGCACCAGGGCTGCTTCCGCTGCTCGCAATGCCGAGGCTCACTGGTGGACAAGCCCTTCGCTGCCAAGGAGGAGCAGCTGCTGTGCACCGACTGCTACTCCAACGAGTACTCGTCCCGCTGCCAGGAATGCAGGAAGACCATCATGCCAGGTCAGTGGGCTGAGGGGCTGGGGGGCAGAAAGACAATCATGCCAGGTCAGTGGGGGCCTGTGGGAACCAGAGGAGCACCCAACGACATCTGCGCACAGCATGGACTGGGCTGCCCCTGAAAACCCCACAAACATCCGGAATCTTAAAATCAGAATTAAAAAGCACATCCTGGTAGACATGTGCAGAAATCAGGGCGGAGAGTGGCTGAGCCCTCGGGTGAGAGCCACCGCTTTGGGCTGGGAGGCTGAGGAAGAGCACAGCTGTCCCTCGGGGCTGTGCCAGAGCTGGGCCATTGGGGATGCACTTTGCAGGGTGGCTGGGGGAGCTCAAAAAAAACCAGCCCAGTTAAACCCTAATATTGGGGTGTTTTTGTGGGTACCTCACCTGGCCATGCAGGACCCGCTCTGCTGTGACCCCAGAAAGGGGCAGCTCCCCACCCCCACCATCGCAAGCCAATGGAACCCTGAAGGCTCTGGCTGCCCACATTCGGGTCCAAAGGTGACAGACATCTGGGGTGGGTGAGTTCTGCCTGAGTTGGGGCAGCCTGATGGCGCCCTCTTGTGGAGGAACAGAGCACAGCCTGGCAGTGAGCCCTGAGCTCTGGAAAGCATAGTACCACCACAGGAGCGGCTGCAGCAAAGGTGGCGTGGTGGGGACAGCCTCAGCCTGCAGGGACAGCGGCCTGCGAGGTGACGGGCAGTGTGTGAAGGCGAATTGACTGTGTGACCTTTTAAAGTATGCAGTCGGATAAGTGAACTGAACTTACGATTTTACACTGAAAATTTTTTAATGTATAAACTACTCTGACATTTAAGGTCTCCTGCGATTCGCCGCTGTATGTTCATTTTGATAACTATAAGAATCTGAGGTTTCTTAATTGGAAAACTTAAAAAGACTAACAAATATATTAAATTTGAACATGTAATTTTAAAGAAATTCAGTTCCCTCTTGGTAAATGGAACCAAACACAAAGCCTCCTTAAGGAGGGACTTTTTTTTAAAAAAGAAAGGTCTCACTGTGTGGCCCAGGCAGGTCTTAACCTCCAGGGCTCAAAGACCCTCCTGCCTCAGCCTCTTGGCTGGTGGGACTACATGCTTCAGTGATGCCCTGGCCTGAAGAAATTTTTACAAGTTCACTTCATTAATGAGCGCAGCAGCAAGACTCATGAAAAGGACTTAAGTCGAAGGCCTGAGTCTGTGGTTTTAGCACAGCAAACACCGATTTCTGGAAACCGAGCCAGCATCTGCATCCCCGCATCTCTGCTAGTGGGGTTCACAGAGAGCTCTGGCGTCACTGGAAGTCACTGGAAGTCCCTGCCAGGCCACCACAGCGTCCCTGTGTGATTGGGTTTGCCTTGCCTGCACTGAGGAGATGCTGAGGAGGTGCAGTGGGAAGCTGACACACAGGAGTAGGAAGACACGGGATGCCGGAGAAGAGAGGGGACCTAGGCAGCCTGGCAGGCCACAGACGGCTTCCTGTTACTGCCACACCTCCAGCGAGCACAGTTAGAAGTGACTGCAGTGGCCGGCGTGACGGCACACAGCACTTGTCCCAGCTCCTCAGAAGCAGGACTGCTTGGGCCCAGGAGTTGAGCCCACCTCAGAATTAATAACAGCACCATGCCATGGGAAGGAGCGAAAGCACCCTGCGGACAGGGCCCCTGGGAGGACAGGGTGCCCTAGGGACCTCCAATGGGAGGAGCTCCAGGCCAGAAGGTCCTTCTGGAAACTCAGGGCCCGAGTGGCATGTGACAGCGGCCACAAGCAGTGAGGCCGTGGGTCCCAGGTGACCTTGTGCAACATACCACTACCCCCAGTGTCAGAGCTGAAGCTTTTGTGTCAGAGCCTGAGGTGGGCGCCCTGTGCTCTCGGCAGCTGCTTTTCACTTTGGCTTTTGAGACGAGGTCTCACTGTGGTCTCAGGCAGTCTTGAGCTTGCTACTTAGCCCCTGCTGGCCTCATACTTGAGATCCTCCTGCCTCGGCCTCCCGAGTGTGGGGACTTAGGTCACAGGCCTGAATCTTGGCACACTGGTTGAATTCCCTTTTCCTCTCATTTCTTCAAATGTCGCAGGCATGGAGACCTCTTCTCTTCTATGCCTTCCCCAAATTCCCTGCAGTGCCAGCGTGGGGTTGTTTGCCCCCACAGTGGTCCTCTCCCTGTGTCACTGTGTCCTCCACTCTGGCCTCTCCAGCTTTCCTGTGCTTCCTCAGCAAGGCTGGAATCCCTCTTGGGTCCCCAGGCCAGCCCAGTGTGGAGACAGGACACCCACAGAGGAGTCAGGGCTGAGCAGGAGAGGGGGCTGCAGAGCAAGCCAGGTGCTCGGGTTGGTGGTATGTGATGCTGCTAGGGCCCAGGGCTGTGGTACCCTTGGAGATGTCTTCATCGAGGTTGAAGGGCCGTGGAGCCACCCACAGCCTCATCCTGCCTGCCGCTAGGGGAGCGTAGTGCAGGTTGCAGGCTGGAGTCCACATGCGTCCTGCTGCCTTGGACATTGCCGGAATGGACTTGAGTCACAGGGCCATCATATCAGTGCAGAGGACAGTGTCCCGCCTGCAGTGAGGCTGAGTCATGGTGCACAAGGAAGCCCCCACAGGATGGACACACAGGCTCTGGTCACGCAGGTCACAGGCTCAGTGCCACCGAGCTCCCTCTGACCAGGCAAGAGGAGGTGGTCCAGAGTGAGGTGACCTTTACCTCAGCCCAGGCTTGTACACACCAGATGCTTTCACTGCATGCGCTGGACCTTTGACTTTGTCACCCTGCTGACCTTGACTTTCCATGTGAGGGCTCAGGGGTGACAGTCCCCCAGGGAGATGCATGCAGGAGACCGACTCTTTTATGGCATGCTGTGGCCTGGGCTTGGCAGCAGTGGATACTCGGGCTCAGCACCCTGTGAGTCCACAGGAGGCTGGAGCCCCAGCAGGCTCACTCTGGGGATTTCGGACTTCCCTGGCCTGAGGAGACCCTGGTCCTGATCCTGATGGGATGAGGCGCACCTGTGTCACAGTGGGTGGCCTGGGCCACTCCAAGGCTCATGATCTCAAATATGTCTAAAAAACTCCTTCAGAGCCACGTCTGTGCAGGGCTCTTTTTTGTACTTGTTTTTAAGAGTCAGAGTCTCGCCAGGGATTTAGCTCAGTGGCATAAGCTCCTGCCTTGCAAGTGCACAGTGGTGAGTTCAATCCCCGGTACCAAAAAAAAGAAAAGAGCTGGGAATCCATGGGGACACTCTCATGTCTGGCTAGATGGGTGTTGTTGAAACCGCTGGGTACCATCTGCAGCTGGGCTGGCACCAGAAGCCAACCATCCTGCCTTCCTTTTCTCATGGTGCTCTCTGGTGACGGAGAAAAGGCTGAAAACTTCTACTCTCAAGGGAGCTGCTCGGGGTCGCTGGGTACTGGCAGAGCTTCAGTTATGATCTAGCGAAGCCAGGCTGCAGCCCTGGACGTGTGTCTGTGGGACGGGACCCCGAGGCGCAGCTCCCACCTGCCGCACAGGCTCCTGACATCTCCAGGAACCTGAGTCCCAGCCCGAGGCTCCTAGAGTGAAGAGGCCTTAGACTCTGGCCCCACCTGGGGTGCCCAGTCCCAGCCTGGACAGGAGCTGAGCTCGACCTTCTGCCAAGTGTGCTGCCACCACCTGCTGGCTGTGCTGCGTCACTGCATCATGGGGCTGGCCATGTCCATGGCAGAATCTGGGACTGTGCCTCAGAGGCCACAGACACCCGGCTGCCATGGACACCAGGGCTTCCAGAGTCTCTCCCTGGATTTGAGTGGCCTGATGGATATTGTTGCAGGACAATTTGCCCATGGGAATCCCGCAGGCTGTGCCCAGCATGGGGGTACCACTGGTGCCACCCCTCCACACTTATACAGACACACCCCACATGTGTCCCTGAGCATGCACAGATGGGCACAGAAAGCCCAGGAAGTGGCCCAGTAGCGGCATTTAAGGAGGCAGTGGTGCGATGGTTCTCAGTGCGGCCCCTTAGCTGGGGCGCAGGTGCCACCTGCCTAGCTGCCAGCTGAGACCAAACCCTGCCCAGGACTTCAGCGTGATGTCTGCATGGGTGTCTGTCACCCATGTGGCTGCCCAAGTGGTCAAAGGGGACTTCAGTGCCACCCATCCCCCAGCCCAGGCCAAGGCCCTGTGCGAGGTGTGATGTGTGGGAAACTTTTCCTATCTCTGCGTACACTGTGTTCCTTCTCCCACGTCTGTCTTTCCTTCTGTCTCTCCAAAGGGCGCTTGTGTTGTCTTCTGTCTTGAATTCTGTTTGCCATAAATATGCGTGGCTTTTGGCAGAGTATGAGCCAAGTGCTCTGTAAACACAGGGCGCCGCTGTCTGTCTTGAGTGGTTCACCATGTAGGTTCCTGACTGTAGGGAGATGGTGTTAGACCATACCAGGAGAGGGGACGGCACCCAACCAGACCGGAGAGCTGCTAAGTGGGATTCCAGGTGGCCTCCATGGCAGCACACAAAGCCCAGCCCAGCTCTTGCAGTTGGTTCCTAGCGCAGTACGAGTGCACGGATCTCTGCAGGGAACCCAGTGAGCTTGAGTTCGCTCCTAGAACCGTGGAGGGCGCTCACAGCAGGAGAGCGCACAGCCCGTATTGCCTGGAACATGGGTGTGGAGCCCTAGAGAGGCCGTGCGCTCACCATGAGATTTAACCTGCTAAGTAGGCACAGTAAGAGATGAGTGACGACCAGTAAGCCAGAACCATTATCAAAAGAGCACTAGGGGGCCATTACGAAGTGAAGTCAGGGTTCCTGGCACACGGCCGGCCCCCTCCATCCTGCAACAGGTGATGTGACATGGGGCAGGAGGGCTGCGGCACTGACAGGTGGGTAGCGTACATGGCAAGGATCCACTGATCACAGGTGGTTCTCGCCCCGGAGGGAGGGAGGGGTGGGACGCTGGGGTGTTTCTTCACACCCTCTGCTGTTTACTGCTGACATTTGTGAACTGAGGCTGGCTACGGAGAGCAGAAGCCAGGGCTGATGGGAGACGTCCATGGTCCACACGCCCTTATCCACTCTGCTGGAGGACTGCTGCATCTCTGCAGCCCTTCACACTGCCGCAGTGCTGGGAGGCTGAAGACGCCTCCCTCACCCTTCCTGACCGCTGTGGTGCCCCCTGGGGAGGGGAGGCCCAATGACTGCTGGGTCACAGTTCCAGCCACCCAGCGCTGATGTGCTGCCTCCTTCCTCCACGACAGGGACCCGAAAGATGGAGTACAAGGGCAGCAGCTGGCACGAGACCTGCTTCGTTTGTCACCACTGCAGGCGGCCGATCGGGACACAGAGCTTCATCCCCAAGGACAGTGAGAACTTCTGCGTGCCCTGCTACGAGCAGCAGCACGCGCCGCAGTGCGTGCAGTGCCAGAAGGTAGGGTGGCCCCTGTGGCCCGCGTGGCTGAGGGTCGTGGCTGTGGGTGCCTTCTGTCCCTTCTCGAGTAACCGAGCAGCACAGAGCACTCTGGGAAAGCCCTCAGCCCTGCCTTCCTCCAGAAGCTTCTGAGCATGTCTCCTGTCTATGGCTCATGCCCAGGCTCCGCCTTGCATTCTCATGGGTCCGTGTTTGCAGGGCAGGTCCGTATTTGCAAGGTGTGACAGTCTCACTGGGGGAGCTGGCACGGGGATAGGACGCCCTCTCCCGCCCCTCTCTCCTCCACGCTGGGTGACCTTGTCATTGGCAAAAGAGCCTGTACCCTACTTCCTGTCATCTGTCTTCTGTTTTGTGATGTTGATCTGGAAGAAGCAAAACTGACCACTCAGTCTGAGAGAGGACAGCAGGAGAGGGAGGGAAGGGAGGAGAGAAGAGGGAGAGGGTAAGGGAGAGGGTTTCTACTCCTGCTGCCCGGCTGTCACCTGTGCCCTCCCTCCGGCAGTGGCTTGTCCCTGTCCCCTACCTGTCACTGTCCCCAGCTCATCCTCCGCCTGTGCACTGGTCTTGCGCTGGGTTTATCCTGCGCCCTGGTTCCCTTGAGTCCTTGTGGGAGTTCTGTGCCTCTTCTGGGTTGGGCACAGTGAGTCCTTTTGGTGGCAGGGAGCAGTAGCTTCTGGACTGGCCAAGGCCACCCTGACCCCTTTGTGATACGTCAGTCACAGGAGACACTGTGCAGAGAGCCCACACCCTCTGGGCCAACACTGCCCTTGTGAGCACTGCTGTGGACTCGCAGCCCGGATCCTGGATTGGCTCAGCTGAGCTGTCCAATTTATTAATTGGACAGTTCTGGGCACCGGTAAAGTTAGCAGGAAGATTTGGCCTTTGCCTGGTGTGGCTCAGTGGGTCCTGTGGATCTGGCCATGGTGACCCACTGCCCCAGGGCTCAGGTGTGGCAGGAGGGCGCTGACCTCTGGGATTCTGATTGAGTTCTCATCTCGTGAGCCACTCTGCTGTCCCTTCCTGTTCCCGTGACCCTGCTGCCTGGTGACCCACTTGCACAGATGCCAAGCACACTTCCTGTGGGACACACACATGCACACGCATGGTGTATGCCCCAGGGAACAGGGAGGACAAGGTCCTGGGGCACAGGGCACCCCTACAGGCGAGGGCTCCTCAGTGCTCCTGAGAAAGCAGTGCCTGGTGGAGGGGACTCAGGTCCCAGGGGGCCAATGCAGTGGAAAGGAGGATGGCAGAGAATGTAGCTGAGAGGGCGTTCCGGTCCCTCAGGACATACTGCCCCCAGCGTGTCCCCTCAGGTTCTGGAGAGCAGGTCCTGGGGAGCAGGAGATTTGTGTGCCCACTGTTCATAGTTTTCAGTTCTGTGAATATGGGACTGAGTCCCTGCCTCTCTTTAGCTAGCTCTTAGATTGCTCAGAATTAATTCCTGAGCAATCACCATCTCTGGGTCTCAGTCTATAGTCTGTGAAATGGGAATGATCTGTCTTATGTCACCAGCTCTACAGATGCTGCAAACATCACCACGTGCTACCATGCAGTTCATAGACCAAAGCAGGCCAGTGCACAGCGTATGGTGCCTGTCTACCTGCCTGCTGCCCCTCTGTGTCACCAGGCCTCCGGACCCCCACACTGTGTTGTCCCTTGGCATGAGGGTGACATACGAGAAGAGTCCCCAGATAGCACAGGCTGGGGCTTCTCGCAGATGTCCTGAGACTGAGGCAAGCCAAGACCGAGGCTGTGGCTTCACTTTGTCCCCCAGTGCAAGATGGGCTGGTGGGCAGCTGTGGAGGGGTCCCCACGAGAGCTGCATACAGCGTGGACCGGGACTGGGATCCGCTGTCCGTACAGCCTCCTCTGTGACCCCACACTGGTCTGGCAGTGGGATGTCCATCCCTGACCTCCCTCCCTGGCACCCTACACCCTACCAAGGATGAGGGCAGACCCACAGATGATGTCACAGGAGGTCATCGGGGTGGGGGCACACTGTAAAGACGATCCCTTGCGATGAGCTCAGGGAAGGGGCAGCTTGGCTGGCATCCTGGATGGTGCAGGACCCATCTGATGCCCTTTCTCGCAGCCCATCACAGCGGGCGGTGTCACCTACCGGGAGCAGCCCTGGCACCGAGAGTGCTTTGTGTGCACTGCCTGCAAAAAGCCGCTATCAGGCCAGCGCTTCACGGCCCGAGATGACCTTGCCTATTGCCTGACCTGCTTCTGCGAGCTGTACGCCAAGAGGTGTGCCGGCTGCACGCACCCCATCAGCGGTGAGTGCGGGGCTCTGCCGGGGGTGGGCTAGCGCCTGATACCCGGGCTCCCCATTACCCTCATCTACGCCTGTAGGTAACTTCCGATCACCCTGCCCGCTGGGCCCACGAGGCCTGTCCATGGGAACCCTGTCCACTTGGGGCTGAGTGGTCTCCAGAACCCAGCTGCAAGGTCAGTCCAGGCCTCCCACTCAAGGCAGACTGGCACTGGCAGCCTCACGGCTTCCTGGGGTTCTGCAGGTGCCCAATGGCATGGAATGGCACAGTCAGAGGGCACCTCCCAGGGGACATGCACATACTTCGGTGTGAATCAAAGTGTTCAGCATGGTCAGGGCCTGAAGAGCAGAGGCTGACTGGGCGATGAGCATGTGGGAAGTCAGGGTGCAGAGTGGACGGACTTGGGGTAACAAGTAGATGGTGTAGACAGGCACCAGTCAGCGGCAGTTGGGCAGAGGAGAGTGGGTACTCTGTCCCAGCCCTGTCATTCTGTTCTCGGGGAAGCGTGGGCACAGTGCCTGGCCAGCTCACCGGGCTTTCCTACCATAACACACTGTGTGCTCCTGCTCTGGCTTTCTCTTTCCGGGCGTGGCTAGGTAACTCCCCTCCCCCATTGAAGCTGCCCACTGTGTGACCCAGGGCTCGAGTGTTTCACGAGCACTGAAGCACTAGGAAAGCACTGTGGCACTGCCTTTCCTGCAAGTGCCGTCTGCTTCCTGCAGTGCACCTCGGGGTCCCTCTGCCGAACAGGTCATCACTAAGGCTGGTGGCGCAGGGGCATCTGTCTAGAGGCTGTGTATGAACTCAGGTTGTAAAGTGACATCCTCTGAGATGAGAGCATGGAAGTAGATTGTGTGTGAATGTTAATGAAGCTATTGCTGTACTGTCAACCAGAAACACTCAGCAGAAATGGAATAGAAACCTTCCCACTAAGCGAGAACTCATTCCTGGAGAAGCTGGTTTTCAAGAGTGTACACAGGAGCGCTGGAATTGTGGCCAGAATGTACTTTCAGCCAGGTTACCAGAGAACTGCTCAAAGTTAGAGTTCAGATTGATTTTCAAATCCATCTTTCTTTTTCCTCTGTAACAAAACATGAATTATCTTTGTGAAGACGTCAGAAGTTTGTATTTTCCGGCTTTCCAGGGGCCTGATTCACACCAAAGTGCAGCTGATCCTCTCGACTCGCAGATGTGGGTCCCAGCAGTGCCCACTCAGGCCTGCACAGGCGACACGGATTCCGAGGTCCCCAGGCAGGGAGCCAGGCTGCTCTGCCTTGCTCACCTCCCACACTGGACCTGAGCATCCTTTTCAGTCTCCACAGTGACGCGTCATCCCCCGTGTTGCACGGTCTTGCTGGCACCTCTGCACCTAAAATAGGTCTCGCATGGCACCCCAGGTCCCCAGGTGTGCGCCTCAGGCCGCTCAGAGCAGCACCTGGTGGAGGTGTTGCACTTGCTGTGAGCGGCAGTGCTGCTGGCCTTGCTCTGGGCGCTGGGGCCTCATCCTGCGCCCTGTATACGTTGCCCACAGCTGTGTATTGGACCCAGCAGGTTGAGGTGGGAGAAGGGGAGTGCAGAGATGGGAAGTGCGCAGAGATGTCACCTCACTTTGCGGTCCCTGGGGAAAGGAAGAAACCCCTCCAGCCCTGTGCAGCCCCTGCCTATGGTCCCATGAAACTGTCGTGCCCTGGGTTCCACAAGGAGGTTTAAAACCCTGCTGTGTGGATCCCCCAGAGCAGCCGTCACCCTGCTCTGGCATTTTTGAAAGCTCTGATGATGCAGATGCATAGAAAAGTTAGATCCACTGGCTCCCATACTGGTGAGGTCAGCCTGGGGCCAGTGGCCCCAGTCTTCACGGTCCAGCATCAGGAAAGCCTGTCTGTATTCCGGAAGCATTAGCTGCTTGTCACAGTGTCAGGGTTTGGTTTGGTAGTGATTTTACAGGGCTCAGGCCCAATCCCAGGGCCTCGCACCTGCTAGACAAGCGCTCCCACACTGAGCCAGCCCCAGCTCTGGTAGCTCTTTAGGCAGCTGTGAGATACTTAGGACAAAGAGCACTGGCAGGGGTGGGGACTGAGGGTTGGCAGAAAGGGCACAGGATCTTGCGCTGCAGACAGGAGTGCTGACCGCTGAGGAGGAAGAGCTCTGGGTGAGAACTAAGCTCCAGAGACTACCCGAGACCTCCAACAGTACCAGTGGAGTAGCCAGGCGGTCACCTTCTTCTTAGTATGCTGGAGCACACCGTGGCTTCTGGGAAGAACGCGTTGTCATTGGAACTCATGGCCTAGATTTCACAGAATCCATGACGCCTGTGCTATTTCCAGGGGGCGGAGCAGCACAGAGCCCCTGCCCTAGATACTACGACCCAAGACCAACACGCTTTAGACAGCCATGCAGAGGGGTCGCCCACGTAGTCAGGCTGGGGCTGAAAGGGAATGAGCTGCTTGCTGCCTTCCTTGTGTAAAAATACGGTGACACTCTGGTTTCTCTGCAGATAGTATAAACCTTTTACCTAAAAATACTGGGGATGTGGTGTAGCTTGGGGGTGTAGCAACCTGGGTTCCATCCTGAGCACCACTCAAATTTAAAAATTAGGGTGGCTTCATCTACTTTACAGCATTTCCATAGTCTGCCCCCACTTTCCACCATAATACCCCCTTCTCACTAAGCTCTTTCTTATCCTCTGTACCCCACTGTGTGCTTCGGGGGGCTCCACTCTGTCTCCCCTCTGCAGGAAAACTCGTCCATCCCCCAGTACCCACCTGGCATCCACCACTTAAAGGAGGACAGGCTTATGTGGCTGTTGGCCTTGGAGGGTTCATTCCATGGTCAGCCAGCTCCCAAGCAGCAATCCGTGGCTGGGGGGAGGCTGCTCATCCCACTGAGGATCAGACCATACCCTCCTGGGCCACTCCCAGGGACTGCCCCGATGCATGAGACCTGGGAGAGTTACTGATCAGAGCCTTAGCACCTGTCCCCTGTGCCAGGAGGCGAGCACCGAGGACCGATGGCTCCTCCCCCAGTCCCAGCCGCCCACCTCTCCAGGGTGCCCACCCTCACCCAGCATGCTTTCTCTGTCAGCAGGACTCGGTGGCACAAAGTACATCTCCTTCGAGGAGCGGCAGTGGCACAACGACTGCTTCAACTGCAAGAAGTGCTCGCTGTCCCTGGTGGGGCGGGGCTTCCTCACGGAGAGGGATGACATCCTGTGCCCCGACTGTGGGAAGGACATCTGAGGCTGCGCTGGCCTCGCTGTTAGCCCTCAGTCCTTCCTCCTGCGCAGTTCAGCCCCGGAAGAGCGCGCCTAATTTAACCTGGTAGAAAGGCAATTTAGAGTTTCTGTAGTCACTAAGGCAAACCCTGTGCAAAACTCCTTTGCAATGATGTCTGTTCACATACCTTTCTTCACTGCCTCTGTAAGTATGAGTGACAGCGGCCCACTGACAGTGTCCCGGCTGTCCCAGTCAGGAAGAGCAGCCCTGCAGCTCTGTGACATGAAGCCCAAAGCAGGATGATTGACTCACAGTAAAGCTGCTCCCCACAAACGCTTTGCCAGGCCCTGTGTGATAACCATGGAATGCTGGGTCTGCAGTCTGGTGCCTGCTCACAGTGATGGCCAGCCCTGGATGCGGCCCGGGCTGTCGAAACCCCTCTGCCCCAGCTGGTCACAGCACATCCTCGGCGGGAACATACCTTTCCTTGCAGCTTTCTCTCCTTTTTTACATGCAGGCTCTGTCTCTTGGCGGGGGGGTCAACATTGGTGCAGTGACCTTTGCTCCCACATGTGGACAGCACCTCCAGGCTAAGAACAGGAAAGCTCATTTGGGGCTCATGGAGCTGGGCCAGTCCTCACCTGTCTTCTCTCCCACAGAGTGAAGGGTTACAGGACACAGGCCATTTGAAGCCAGAGAACTATCTGTAGCTCTTTGGGGACTGCTAAATTCCAAGTTGCCTGTGCTGGGCTCCAACTTGGGACGCTTCTGTATTAGCCTCCCGAAGTATTACAGGAAGTACTTGCTCTGTTTTTTAAAAAGGTTGCGCTGGAACACAGCCATGCTTTTTCATTTACACGCTGGCCTGCCCACAAGGTCTTTTCCTGTCGCCTTGATGGAGAAAACCAGCCAACCCACCCTGCTCTGTGTCTTGACCTGAGTTGTAGTTACAGGAGAGGTCAGGGGTGTGTGTTTGTGTGTACTACACATACAGATTTTCACTGAGTTGTACAAGTTAAAAACTTTATTTTTCATGTTTAGTAAATTTATTTTATTTTGCACGCTTTAATTTCAGAACAAAATAAAGAGTAAGAGAATACACAACACATCCAACTCAATAAATTTAAAGTACGTGTTTTATGCTTTATGATGTTTCCTGTGCTGGGTATTTTGTATTTCTGTTGGTGCTGGGGAATGAACCCAGCCTCGAGGACAGTCATTTTACATCTTTTTTCCCTAAGTCAAGTGAACAAACTCATTTGGTTTTCACTTTGTTGTCCCAGCACTGGGGAAACTCTGGGCGCACGTGTCCTGTCCCTGTGCTGATGGCTGCCTTCCTATGCCATTGGTGATGTCCCCAGGACAGGACGGAGGGTAAGACTGTCTTTCTGCGATGGCTCCCACCGCCACTGCCAGCTGCTTCAGTGACTCCCAGGTCACAGTCCCCACCTAGGACAGGGTGTGACTGGGGCTCTGGTCTGCATGGAGCTGCTGGCTGCATGTATGCCCAGCACCCCAACCTGCTCTTCTTTCTACCCTGTCCTTGCTCCTTCTGCTCCGCCTGTTCCTTGCCCTACTCTCTGCCCTACTTCCAGACTCCTTCGAGGCCCCTCCTGCGATGTGGGGTGCCCTTCGGAGCCCTCTTGATGGGGTTCCGCCACTGACCCACAGCTGAGTGTCCACAAAGCATCAGGCAGATAACTCTGCTGCTCGGGGCTCTGCTTTCTCTTAGGTTTTGCCTATAGCTCTTCAGAGCTTTCGAGATTCAAAAAAACCCAAAAACATCCCTGCAGAAGCGCTTTCCACATTTAAGAAGCCGAGCAGGCCTGCAGGGGCCCTCCTTACTCTAAGTGCCAGCAACCCCTGCTGGTGGTGGTCAGCGGGCCCTGCTAGCCTTGCAACAAACAGGGCTGCGGTTTCTCCCCGCCATGTTTTGTTTCTCCCAGGAAGCCACTGTCTCAGTGTCTCCATCTTCAGTTTAAATCTAAACTACAGCATAATAAAACAAATGGTATACTTAGACTTGGGCCAGAATTTAGAATATGGTAAAACTTACAAAAGAACTAGTCAGCGGCTGGGGATTTAGCTCAGCGGCATAAGCGCCTGCCTTGCAAGCAGGCAGTCGTGAGTTTGATCCCCGGTACCGATAAAAAGGAAAAAGACAAAAAATAAATAAATAAATAAATAAAAGAACTAGTCAATGGCCAACCAAACCCAGGAGCACAGGGTAGTCACAAAAGAACTGGAGGAAGAGCTCACTTAGGGGCCATCGTGGTGGGGCCCAGGGTACTGGGGTGCAGGTTGCTCTAGCTAGCCTGGAGTAATCCCAGGACTGTGGTCAGCAGAAGCTCCACCCTTGGGAAAACTTGGAAGAAATGATTGCCATTGAATTCAGCTGACCAGGCATAGTGGGGCATGAGGCTCGCAGGTTCAAGGCCACCTAGGCAATTCCGCAACCTGGTGAGACCCTTTCTCAAAAAAAAAAATCAAACAAGCTGGCTGTGGCTCGGTGTCTTGACCTTGGGCTTGATCCATTGTAGCCCTGGCAAATCAGCTGTAGACAAGTCCCTGTCACCACACAGATGCCAGGGTGCTGGACACTTAATTGCATGTCACAACTGGATCCCAATGCTGTGCAGAGCTGCACTCAAGAGCTCAGTCGGCCCCATAGACCCCCTGCCCCCCGCTGATGCTGGAAAGCATTTGCTCAGCTCTGCCTGCTACAGCAGGAGAGCAATGCTGGCTGACACTGGAGCTGACCACACCGCTGCAGAAGCTCACGTATGCAAAGCCCACCGGCACTGCACTGGCACACTGGCCCATGTCCGCTGGCCCAGCCCCCCCCTCAGGAACAGACAGGAGGGTTCGTGGTTGTGAGATAAGGCTCAGAGGAAAGCCCTCTGCTTGAGAGGCAGCAGAGGAACCTCAGAGGTCGCTGTATCGCTGGCAGCAGCTGCTCCCGCCTGGTGCGGGTTGACTTTGCCTGGCCCTGATGTTCAAGCTGGGCAGCTGAGAGCATGGTGGAGGCGAGTGCTGGCGGGTGCTGGTGGGAGCTGTGCTCACTGTGCTGAGTGGGCCTCGTAGGTAAGCCAGGAGCCCAGAACCACCTGCCCAGAGGCCACCCTTGTTGGAGCCACCGGCTCACCTCACTTCAGACATGCATGGTGGCAAAGGTTGGACCCTGAAGTCCCCATGGCCTGCGTGGTAAAGTCTCGCCCTGCCCCGAGGCAGTGTTCAGAGGTAGGGCCGTGGAGGATTCTCAGGGTTCCTGGGAGCGGCCCTGAGGGGAATGCAGGTCTCTGGGTCTTGCTTCCCAGCTGCCTGGAGGTTCACAGTTCTGCCTGCCCCAGCCCTGCCAGGGTGCTGCCACGTCACAGGTACAAACACAACGCAGGCAGGGAGCAGGGCCACGGAACCGAGCCCCACGGAAGCCTGCCTGTTAAAACCGTCTTCGCTCTTCTGTTACAGGTAGATGGCAGAGCAACACAGAGGGCTACGTGTAGGAATCTTTAGGGTTATAAACAGTGCTACACACGCGCACATGCACACACACACACACACACACACACACACACGCAACTTACTGTCAAGGAAACAAAGTAGTGACAGCCCAGTAGCAGCGAGCACCCCTCACAGCCGGGTCTTGGTTCTTAACTCTTCTCCAGTACAACCAATCCATACCTCTTGGGTAAGCAGCTGACCCCAGGCCTTGGGCAGGAATATATAACGGGCACCCTCAGTCCTCTCCAACGTCAGGAACTCGGGATATGGCGAATGATCAATTTGGGAAACGGGATAGAAAGCATTAGAAGTTTCCACAAGTCATTCATAGATCCTCTATAGTCAGGAATCGTGGAGGACAGGCATCTCAGGCAGAAATGCAAATAATTTATGTAGAATGTGATGAGTTCAGTGACTTCCTTGATGAAAACACAGTGCGGCATGGGAATCGCCCCCCAGTGGAGAAGCCTGACAGACACTACTGCGGCCAGGTGACCCCGGCTGACCTGGGAGTGGTGACACAGTCACTGTGTCCTCCAAACAGTGTGAGTGAACAGCGCCCTCCCTCTGTGCCCCCTAAACCCACACCCCCCATCTGCTTACAGAAAAGCAATACTCAGATCCCAGCCGAGGGACATAAAGCATGACCAGTGTCCCTCACAACTGTCAAGGCCACACAAGGGAAGTCTGAAAAATCAGCATGGCTAAACGAGACAGGAAAAGCACGGTGGTACCGTGGGTCAGGAACACGAGGGACACTTGGGAAAACCTAAGCAGGCCCAGGCAAACATACGGGCTCTAATTAACAATAACACATCAGTATTAATTCATTTCAAAAATGTGCCAAACTAAGTACCACACTAAGGAAGCTGGGCGTGAAGCTGTGTGAAAATCCTTGGTATTCCCATCAATGCCAAACTGCCCTAAGGTGTTCAGTTCTAGATAGTCAGACCAAGCACAGTGGGACACACATGTAATCCCAACACTCTGAGAGCTGAGGCAGGATGATTCCAAGTTTGAGTCCAGCCTGGGCAACTCGGTCTGTTACCAAGACCTTGTCTCTTGGCCAGACATGGTGGAGTGCTCACGCGATCCCAGACACTGCAGTCAGAAGATGCAAGTCCAAGGCCCGCCGGGCCACACAGTGAGTCCAGACAGCGTGGCTCCATTCCAAGGCAAGAGCCAATTTCAAAACAGTGGGAAAAAAAGCCATTTGATAAAAACTTGTGGAGAAAGAAATGAGATGGAAGGCAGGAAGGGACAGGGAAGGCAGGTGTCACCGAGACAGGACACATAGGGCAGCTCCTCTCGGAGGCAGCCAGTCCTCGGCTCAACTTGCTTAGGTTTCCATCCAGAGCCAGTCTGCACTATCGATTTGGGGCTGCAGAGAGGCAGATGTGGCAGGGAGTATCTGGGACTGGGAGACTGTCGCCTTGTGGCAACTTGAGCAGGTTGCCTGGTCAGCATCCTCTCTCAAGGGTAGCCCAGGGGCCTTGCATCCCCTGCACTTTCCAGTGGTGCTGCAGGGCTACGCGGCTGGGACCAGGCCTCAAGCTCGGGGTCCTTGGGGTGCCAAGATCCCAAGTGCACCCATCTGAACTGCAGCCCAGCGTGCAGGGCTGCAACGAGTGTGCCTGGGAGATGGCTTTTGCAAGGCAGTGACAGCACAGCTGGAGGAAGCCTGTGGGAGAATGGCCTGCAGGAGCTCGGGGGCAGACCCTCCAGTCAGGTGCTGTTCCCATGGCCTCATCACTGTGGACCCCACAGCAGCCATGGAGACAAGCCCGGGGTTTCAGGTGGGGCAGAGCTGCCTCCCTCAATCTTTTCCAAGTGACTTAATTGAAGGAAACCAGGTACCGTCTGGACACCAGCTTGAAGCCGGGCACAGCTCGGGCCATGTGCTTGTCCAGCATGCATGAGGCCCTGGGTGCAACCCCTGGCACCAAGATGAAAGTCACCCACTTAGAAAGCAAGGCGGCTTCCCGCCTTCACTTGCAGCATCACTCTGATACTAGCAGCTGGCTTCGGACTGGCCTGTTTGGTCAGGAAGGCTCCCAGTGGCACATCAACTCCCGGGAGCTGTTCTCCCCGGGGGCAGGCTGGCCACACCTCTGTCCCATGACAGCAACACACCCCCCTCTGCAGCCCCACAACATCCCAACATCAGACACGTGTGTAAGGACGCCAGCTCCTGGCCACCAGGCAGTGACCACGCCATTCCCCATGGTGCTCGTGGATCACAGCAGCTACGCTGCCACGCGCTTTCCAGTTCACTTTTCTAAGAACAACAGACATACTGGATCATTTTACTCAGCTTTATTTAAATAAGGATGAACCTACTTAAAAGACTTTTTACATACAAAAATGTACAAGGTCAAGCTTTTCTGGACTGAATACAAAACTTGCACAAGCATTTAATAAAAGAGCACACTTAGAAACATTGGACCATCTGGTGGCCTCTGAAAGCACTGAAGCCCCACCGTGGTAAAGCAAGGATGCTCATCCGCACGTATGTGACTTGATCTACTGGCAGTTACTTAATGTAAGTTTTAAAAGTCATTGCTATTGAATGAGTCTCTAGATCAGTTTTAGAATCATCTCTTGAAACAAGTCAACCAAAATATAATTTCAAATGAAAACTCCGATTCTGAAGATTTCTAACACTTGCAAATGTACTACAGCCTCACAGTTGTAGTGAGCCGAGTTCCCCAAGTGCCCGGTGGCTGTCCATTCCGGACACCATGCAGCTGCGACAGCCACAGGCAGGGTCTCGAGATCTGGGGGTTGTGACAGCCCTGGATGCCCATGGACACGGCCTGGGCCAGCACGGCTCAGCCCCTGTCGAATGCACAGGCCTATGCCTTGCAAACCGCAGCCTCAGCTCGAACTCTGCAAGGGAGGAGGGGAGAAGGAACAGGAAGCTCACAGGTAGGGGGCTCGAACAGTGGAAGGCAGAAGAAGGGAAAGCAGGCTCACTGCACCTCATGGCCACCTCTGGACCCAAACGCCAGCCGCCTGCTGACCCAGGGAGTAGAGCAGAGCTAGGAGAGGCAGTCCGGAGGGACAGCAGTCACCGCAGGGAGAAAGTCACCTCAGCTGTCGCTCCAGGCACATCCTCCTACAGTTCGAAGCAAAGCAAACAGCACTGCCACACCTTGGACCCAGAAGTCCCCTGCCAGGTCCCCTACAGGGGCATCTCGAGGCCTGGGAGCTCGCGTGGTGATAGCTCAGCGCTTTGCCTGCCCACATCTCGGACCCAGAAGCTCCCTGCCAGGTCCCCCACAGGGGCATCTCAAGGTCTGGGAGCTCACATGGTGGCAGCTTGGCGCTCTGCCTGTCCAGCTCCAGACTGCAGGAAGATGCTGCGCTCCAAGCACTATTTGTAATATAAACTTCAATTTGAAGCAACAGTGTTACACAGTTCAGCTGTTATTACCAACCTACTCTGTAAGTTAAATATACAAATTAAAAATTAATTTCATTGAGTAACTAAAGATAAGTTCCCACTGACTTAAAATCGTCAAATGGTTAACTCTCTCTTAACTAAGAGAGAAATACAGGTGGGAGCAGAGGGGCCCACTGAACAGGAAACAGAACATGTCATTGTACTCTAAAATCTGGACTTTCCAAGTTTCCCGTCACATACACCCTAAGGTCAGAATGCCATCAACAACGAAACACGGATCAGCCCTGCAGGGAATCATGTGTTCAAAATTTACCATAAAATCAAAATGCACACGATCCTTAGTCCTGTCAGTTCTGCCTTCTGCACACATAAAGGCAGAATGATGGAAACTATGGTCAGTCTTAGTGGAGTACTTCCTGCAAGGCTGAGTAACTTTATGTAAGGCTATTAAACAGCTGAACAAAAGTGTTATTGTAACAAATCAAGAGGGTAACAGTCCTCTAACATACTGTAAAAGGCAAACCCCAGCTCAAGATCACTTGTACATGGAAAGAAGTGTAAAGCAGTGGCGGCCAGTCTGGGGCATGTGCTTGGCAGGGGGCTGTCTGTTCTCACTGCTATAAAGTACCCTCTGTTCTTGGCTAGAAATCTGCAGCAGGAAAGCAGTCACCAGGACCCAGGATCATGACGGAAACACCACCTTGTCACCAACTTCCATGATGGAGAGTGATAACACCACTCACACAAAACTAAATCCTCTGCAGACGGTCCTGGGGGTGACCTGTGCCACCAAGCGCCCCTTGCCACCATCCCCCGGGCTCCCCTACTTTCTCAGGTCCTGCTCGTTCCCTTCCTCTCAACTGAGACTGTGGGAGCCTGACCGTTTTCCAACAACTTCGTTTTTAAAGCTCAAGCTCCTAGCAGGGAGTCACGGCCAAACTAAACATAGCCCAGACTGCTGATGGAGAGCGAGCGGGGTGACATGGAGACCAGTGCACCCAGGGCCCATCCTACAGGGGTCAGGGAAGGAGCAGCAGCATCTTGGGCCTCCTCTGCTCCCCACGGGGCGTGCAGAGCTGGAGGCACGGGCAGTGCTGTCCTCCGGGTACTGCGGAGCCCCAGCAGGGCAAGCAACTCTCTCCTAGTGTGGGAGAAGCACTAAAGGCCCGACACGGGCCGCTGCGCGGTTCTGTGTGAAAGAAGCAATCAGCAAAAACGGTGACCCGGAGGTGCTGCAGGTTAAAAAGGAAAACCTTAACTGTCCCCAAGACCGAAAAAGGCCGAGGAAATTTTGTGAGCCATCAGATGCTCTGAGCAGAGCGGCCGCTCATGTTTGGACTGGGATGCTAGAAACGTGCGCGGCACCCTTATTTTAAAAACCAACTCTTTCCAAATCAAGGGAAGAAATTTAAAAAGGAAGGAAGAAGGAATGACACTGTTCTTAACCCATTTTAAACTTCTTAAGAAAATCCACCAACATTCAGTATCCACAAATGCTGTCAGCATACGCAAACTTAGCTGAAACCTACAGGGCAGCTGTATTTACATTTCGGATGCTTCCTTCAGGGCCACGTAACGTGCTGTATCTTCCTCTTCGTTTCTGGGGGCTTCAGGTTATTCTGCAAGACAAGGACAGAAACCAGTTTACACCTGTCGAAGTGCCTTGGCACAGCCAACACCGTCTGCTCCCCCAGTGAGGGACACTGCTGCCACCGGGCAGGAAGGGACTCAACACCGAGGCAGCTAAAAATGTTCTAAGAACTAAGTGCAGGGAAAGGGCCAGTCAGCAGCTTTCGTAGGACCCTGACATAAACTGGAAGGTGGGGGGCTGGGGATTTAGCTCAGCAGGCATAAGCACCTGCTTTGTAAGCGCATGGTTGTGAGTTCGATTCCCAGTACTGATTAAAAAAAAAAAAAAAAAAACCCATAGGTGATGCGATCCAAGTCTGCCACAGCAGTAATGGCTGCAAAGCTGCAGGGGTTGTTAAGGGACATCGAACTTCCTGAGGAGCCTGAGGTCAAAAGGATCTTTTTGTACGTGGAGTGCAGAATCATCTAATTAAATGCCACTTAATCGTGTAACTGAGCTAAGTTGCCAGTGGGTGGAATCCAGGCATCTGGATGCCCCATCACCAGGTCGCTCTTCAGGCAGGTATCCCTGGGGCCAAGAGGCAAGGGATGAACCCTGAGAATCTAGTGTGGCTTTAAGGGAGATGCAGACAGATCTGACGTCAAGGCACAGAGGCTGCTTCATCAATGTACCTGAACTTCACTCAGAAACAGAATTACTCCTTTTCGTTACAACACAGAAGGGACTACAGTGAGAAATCCAGGGAAAGCACCCACCTGAAGCATCTCCAGGCATAATAAATGAGTGGGCTTTAAAAACAATGACCATGGGTTCTACAATTTCAGGGTTCAAACAAGCAATAAACACATAAGCAATAAAATGTAAAAAGGGTCAGACAGAGTGGCAGAGTGGCACATGCCTGTAATTCCAGTACTCTGGGAGGCTGAGGCAGGAGGAGGACAAATTCAAGGCCAGCCTAGGTGACTTACTGAGACCCTGGGTTAAAATTAAAAACAGGGTGCAGCTCAGTGCAGGAGCAGTGGATTCAACCCAGCACCGAGAAAACAAGAACCCTCTCAACTGTGCAAGTGTTCCTGCCGGAAGACCAGGCAGGCGCCAGGCCCCACCGCACCCCTGGGTGCTCACCAGAGCTTCCGTGTCCTCTTTGGGAGCAGCACGCTTCAACTTCACAGGAGTAGTTCCAACAGGGGACAAGGGTGGTGACCGCATGGTGCCCGGAGGACTCTTCCTGTGCCGCATGTCATGGTTCTGTTTAGTGTCACTGTTACTGTGTTCCGTTTTATCATCAGTATGCAAAGTGGAAGACAAACCTAGGGATGGGGAATTTGGTGATTTTCGAAAGACGTTACTGGCAATGCCTGCCCGAGGGGGCGGCCTGAGCCGATCATGGTCTCCGTTCTCCGTCTTCTTCACTTTGATGCTTGTACTGGTGGAGCACCCATCGAATACGATGAGGGGTCTTTTCCTTAATCCATCCACAGTGCCGCCCCTGAAATCAAAGAGATGCGCTCTTAGAAATACCATCCAGGGCGAAAGAATTCAGGTTCACCGGAATCCAGAGTAAGAGTCAACAGCAGCCAACGAAATCTACCAAGAATTCCATTTTCACAAGTTGAGGTTAAAAAAAAAAAAAGAAAGAAATCTACCGAGAAGACTGCTCTAAGTGGGATTCCTAGAAATGAAAATTTCCAAATTTCTAAGCTCACTCTTTTATTTTTGTCTTTTTTTTCTTTGAGAAAGGGTCTTACTAAGCAGTTGAGGCTGGCCTTGAGCTTACTTTATAGCTCAGGCTGGTCTTGAACTCTCAATGATCCTACTGCCTCAGGCTCCCAAGTGCTGGGATGACAGGCGTGTACACCTCGCCTGACTCCAAACTCACTTTTGTAATAGAATTAATCTTCTAATGCTTCTAAACTTGAAGTATAAGGTATTTATAAGAAATCTAGCTACCTGACCCAGTGTCTCCCAAGATCCACGCCATGTTGGAACTTAGGGTGCTGGGAAACCAAGCAACCATCAAGTGTTTTTTAAGAAGCAAACTATAAAACCGTGCCACAAAGCAGTCTGCACAAGGCAGCAACTGTACTCCAGTTACTGAGCGTGTCCAAGGGGAAGGCACTTTCCACACTAACTGGGACCGTAGCAGTTACCCGCTTCTAGTTGGGTAAGACTTCTGAGTCTTCTATGTTTAGCTCCTGAAAATCTAATTTCCATCTTTATCCATCTACTCATCAGCTACCCTGCTATCTCTGCAGCAAGGTGGGCCACGCCCAGGACCTCTGTACTGAGCTACGAGCCTCGCTCTTTTCATTCTGACCCAGGCCAGACTTGAGCTTGTGACCCTCTTGCCCCAGCCTTCACAGCTACAGGGAGGTGACACCTAGCCCCACTGATTTCCACCTTTAACGGTCAAAGCAAACCCTCATTCATTTGTTTATTGCTTGAAGTTCCAGTTATGCAGCAGAAGTGTTTAAGAAAATGCCTTTGCACTGAGCTGCTGGCAGGATGTGAGCAGCCGGCCCTCAGGAGGCACCACACCTCACCGTACCAGCACAGCAAAGACTGGCAGCAGCGGCAGCCAGGGGGCAGGGGGAGAAATGCTGGCTCCTGGTTCCATAGAGCTGCCAGGTCAGAATACAAAAGCCGGCATTCTAGCCAGGTCTCACCGTAGCTGGCCAAACTCACTGACTTTTGGGTGCTGCTGGGTACAACTTGGCACTCAGATGAAAAGCTCACCATGCACCTCAGCAGTCGCAGAGGGACGCTGAGAGACAGACAGGCTCAGTGCCCTGGGGCTGGCCATGTGACCACAGCTGGTCTTGGCACTGCTCTGGGTCCCGGGCTCCTCACACAGACACTCTCAGATCCCCCCAGCTTTAGTGCTGATTCCAGACCCAAACTGCAAAGGCTGAAGACAAACCACAGATCCTTCCCCAAGAGAGACTTAGGGGCTGTTACCAAGTTTGGCTTCAGAGCAAAGTAACCAGGACTCAAATGTTTGCTTACTAGGACAACGTATCTGAGCTGCTGCCAGAGAACACACGGATGCAGTGGGCACCCGGAGCAGGTGGGTTAAAGGCGTGTGCGAGCTGGCACAGTGGCAAAGTCTGTAACCTAGCACAGAGGCTGAGGCAGAGAGTCAGGAACTCATGTTCAGTCCAGGAAACTTAATGAAAGTGTCTCGAAATGTAAGATTTAAAAAAGGCCGGGGCACAGCTCACCAGAAGGCTCTGGGTCCAATCCCCAGTACCAGAAAAGAAGAAAGGCACATGCAACACAACTCTGCGAGAGCCACACAGCCTGGCCCAAGACAGAACCACCACACTGAACCGTTCAATCTGAACCAAAACTTGTTCCTAATCAAAGAGGCTGCGTGTGCACTTCCTTTCCGAAAGGCAAGCAGCAAACACGAGCACTCCACCTTTGCAGGCTCGGGAGATATGCTCAAGCATGAGCTTTTCTTCGAAACCAGAGATTAAAAGCACTCATCAGAGGTAAGCACTCCTCTACCCCAGGCCTCTACCCGGCTCCTCCCACTGCCTGCAATGCACCGCCCAGGACAGTGCCCTCCAGACAGGACAAGGGCTCCCCTACCCAGTGAGCTCCACACACTGTGTCCCCATGAATTAGCCTTACCTGACCAAGCACTCCTGACCTTCTCTCAAAAAGCAAAGACTTGTGGCTTTGCCAACAATTGTCTGAAATTTAAACATCTTCACCAGTGTTCCTGAAACTAGCTGACATACTCTTCACCTCTGCATTATTCCAAGACTTCAGGGTCTCACTTCAGTCCTCCTTTCCCCAAAGTTCAGCAATCCCACTGGTGTGTGTTACCTATCAAATTCACCACCAGGTGAAAGCTGCACCCGCGCTGCAGGGAGGACCACCAGGCCTCCTGCCCAGCTCCTCCGCTCCCACCTCGCAGCACTCCCACCTCAAACCTTCTCGGGGCCACCACGGTGGTCCTGTCAAATGGCATCTGATGGCACCATGCCGGCACTGGCTCAAAACCTTCTAATGGTTTCTCAGAGCAAAGCCAAAGTTCCTGAAGAGCTGTGCACGGCCATCCATACTGCCCCGCATCCCAGGTACACCTCTTACCTCCTACTCCCTCCATCTCTGCCAGATGGCCACTTTGCTACTCCTGGTAGTTGTGTGATCACAAATCACACTAAAAGTTCTAATAAAAATTAAGATTTATTATAGCACAAGATACTGCCATTAACCTCCCTTGAAATACCCACCTTTGCTTTGAACACACTCATCTCACCATTTCTGCCACTTTCGGACACAAAGTCCTTTTTCATGTGTGTTTTTGTGGCTGGCACAAAGTGCTGAATCAACCGAAAAGTCTCAAAGAGTAATTTCTGTCAAAAAATTACAGATATCCTCATCTGTGGAGGACCATGGGGATGGCTCTCCTTGAAGTGCAGTGATCTCCATGATGGCTAAGCCTGGCCAGGGTCTACATACTGCTCTGTGCACAGCTGCTAAGCTCCACTTGCCTACATCTCCCAGACAGCCTGTGTGAGCTAGACCCAGTGCAGCCCCGAGGTCGGCTGGGACTGAGCCTTGAGAGAGAGGCCGTGACATCTCAGGGCAAAAACAACTGAACACTAAAGCTGAGCACTGACCCTGCCTCTCCCTGTGTTTGCAGATCGCCCTTTTCTGCATACCTGTCTCTCAGCACGCAGTGGCAGCAATTCAGGCCTCCTACCTAGCCCAGCGCCAGTGTCACATACTTCCCGCCACAACCACAGTCATTCACCCCTGAGCCTCAGTCCTCTTCATGAATTAGTGAAACCTGCATTTGGCTTGTGTCATGGCCTTTGTTCTGGTCAGCCATCATACTAGCTGGACTTAGGACCCCTCTGGCTCCTCGCAACTACAATTATGCCTTAGTGTCTTTAGATTAGAATTAACTCACTAGAATTCCAGTAACTTTTCCATAGGATCACAAATGTGGATTCCTTTGGACTTCAATGAGGTCTAGAAGGGCTTTCTATACTTTTACCTTATTCACCAGACCTGGCAGCCTGTGACTTCCAGCTCTTCCCCAAAGTCAAAATAAGCATGGCAGGTAAATGCTGTGAGCTGATTCAGGAAATCCAGGGAGCCTAACAGCGCAACTAGAGACACTCAAGAGAAAGGACTCCAGGAGTTACACAAGTGGCAAGAATAAGGTAAGATAAGGTGAGGGGTGGGGGTGGGAGTCTTGAGAGGGATTAATAGCAATGTGTCTCTCACTGCAGTGTAATTTTAAAATGTAGACAGTCACTGTTATCTGTGATCACACCTCCCCTATGACAGGCAGGCACCCTCCTGCTCCGCACCCTTGTACTGTGCTGGGATCTGAGCTTACTGTGTGCTTCCTATAGTCCTCTCCACTGAAATGTCATTACTCAATAAGGTGGTTCCAGGCCACTTTGCCAAAACCTAACGCTTCTTTGTGCTTTGCATTTCTCTTTAGTACCTTTCACTACGTAACACACTACACACTTAACTTTTAAAATGTTCCTCTCAAAGAAAATGTGAGCAGGGAATTTTATGAATTTTATTCACTGCTATAACCACAGTGCCAAGAGGCCTAGGGAGGAAGACTGCATAAGTTCAAGGCCAGCCTGAACTACACAACAAAACTCTGTCTCAAAAAAAAAGAAAAAAAAATTTAAACAAAACAAAACAAACCAGCACATGTCTCAATGCCTCATGTCAATAAATAGCTGGATAATTTTTTAACTTAAGTTTAGCTGGAAAAAAGCGGAACTGTTTAGTCATGTAAGATAGAACAAAAACTAGAACCATCATAACACACCTTTTAGGCTCATTTTTTATCTCCTGTTGTTCTCTTTTCTTTTCCATCATTTTCCCCCATCTATTCTTTGGCAATTCTCTCTGAGGCAATGGTATGGCGTGCTGGACATAAAGATCAGTAAGATTGTCTTTGTTTATTCTTACATCATTTTCAACAGCTATGTTTTTCTGCAGAAAAGGAAACAAATGTTAATTTCCAAACAACATCTTTCATTTTAATAACCACCTACCTAAAATGGTAAAACATTGTTTAAATAATAAATTATAAAACCATTTTCACAATCACACATGCACCTATAGCCCTGCAAGTTATTTCAAATGCAGTATTACAGACAGGTTAAAACCAGCAAATACTGAGTTTGGCCTCCACTGAAAGACAATGTCACATATTGTCACTATCACCAGGACAGCTACAAACAATTGCTGGGGCAATATCCTAGGCATGAAGACCATTTCCAGCAACATTAGCTACAGAGCATTGAAAACGGAAGACTGCTTGGGGAAAACATACAAAACAATGCTAGCAATTACCCCATTCTGCCAATAAGCTTCCTTGCGTGTTATGATGATCAAATTGGTGAGATGGAGACTCAGCCTTCACCCTGCATGCTGTGTCACTTTTACATTACTCTAATACAGGGCCTTTTTGTTTTGCTTTGTTGCCAGGAACTGCACTCAGGGCCTCAGGTGTGCCAATCACATGCTCCTCTACTGAGCCCCACAGAGCTTCTTATGGTTGAAGACCAAGACTTCAAACAGCCCTACAGAAGGTCCCTGCAGCCCCAATGGAGGACAGCAGTGTCACTCGTCACAGCAGCCTGTCCTGTCCCCACTTGGGGTTCTCACTGCTCCTTTCAAGTAGCTTTCAGTGACCAGCCAACCTTCCCCTTGGAACAACCTCATTTGCCCCTCACTTTTTTTTTGGTACCAGGGATTGAACTCATGACTGCACACTTGCAAGGCAGGCACTTAAGCCACTGAGCTAAATCCCCATCCCCTTCCCCCTCACTTTTTAAAATGTACTCTTGACATGATGCAAGATATACAGGATTAAGTGCAGGGACAGTTACAGAGGCAGTCTGGACTCAGTAAAAACGAGTAAAAAAGACAATAAGCTTCTCTCAGAAACTTCAACTCAGAAAGCCTGGAAACAGCTGCCCTCTGACAAAATTAACCTCTTTTAAAAAAATTTAAAAGCACATTTTACTTTATTTACCCTCTAGTATTGTGGACTGCTGTCCAGCGGTTCTAGAAGTGCAGTCCTTGGATAAGAAGCAATAATCAGCTAAAAACGCACTTTCCATTCACATCCCAAGTGTACCAAGAACCTGAGGATGAGCTCCACGATTTCTTTTAACAAGTCCATGGCCAGCTCTGATAGACTAAAAGTTTGAGAGTAACAAATGAAAGATCACTACTAACAGAACGTAGGACAGCTTGAAGAACTTAGAAAAATACAGTACTGAGGGGAAAAAACATAAAAACGCAATAAGCCACATGAAATCCTAAGGAAAAGTTTCAGTAACTGTTTACTTTAAATAGCACTTTTTCCTCACTGCCAACGTATTTTCAGAGGCCACACCAGCTAAGAAAATTCAGCACTCCATGGAGAGATGGGGACCTTGAATTATCCGCTAATGCACGACGCACGGATAGTATGTATGGCTTTAAATGAGTCATTGCATCTTTTGGGGACTCAGTTTCAACATCGGAGGTAGCGGCGAATGTGGAATGCAAGCTTTCGCATACCAGCTCCGACACTCAAGACATCCACCTCCACAACCCCTCGTCCAATCTTGGGTCTGCCCCAGCTCTCGCCTACACGCAGACCGCGAGGGATCAGATGTGACCACTCCCCGGGACACTGAGGGCCCTGATAGCTAAGTGCTACTTCCCAGAGTTCCTAAGACTCTTGGGGAGTCTCCTCTCCAGACTGAGGCCGAAGAAAGGCCGATAGGTCTTGGGACGAGGGAATAAGCCTGGCGGCAGTTGGGACTGCGGCGGGATGCCCGTCGTCGCTGAAGGCCATTCGGGGCGAGCCTCCCAGGACAGGCCGTCCTCCCCGCTCGGTGCCCAACCTGCTCTAGAGTAAGAAGAAGAAACTCCTGGGAAAGCAGCTCCGGGTGCAGCAGCAGCTCCGAGTCTGTACAGCTGCGTCCATCCACGATCCCCGCCATCGTCGCCAGGAGACCCCGGCCGGTTACCCACAAGGCTCCGCGAAGGAAGCGTCCCGGAAGTGACGTAGACGAACGGACGCGAATATGTGTCGTCACTCTGTTGCGCCGTGCGTCCTGCCACGCCTTCCATGAGTGGTGCCCGCTGGCCAATGACAAATCGAAAGAAGGGGAAGTGCAATGGAGAAATAAATGGCCCGTCAAACCTCGCGGGAAGAGGGCAGAGCGAAATTCACGGTGCCGCTAACATTGGGCGCTCCTCCTGTGACGTCTAATGGCAGAGGCCACAGGAATTCTCGGGTCGTCTGCAGGCGGAGAGCGCGCACACACGTGACCCCAGGTGGGGCGCTGGGCACGTTGGGAGTCAGCCTGTTTTTCTCTTTTAGCTTCATCTTTTTATTTTCTGATCGTTTGTAATGGAAGTCCAATAAGATTATAGACGATTTTATTAATTCCCATAATAAGTCAGAGCCTCAAACTTCATAAGCACAAAAAAGTCCAAGTCCCTGACTCTGGACTAATCAGCTCCAGAGCGAAATGATAACAGGCTGAGAAGTGCCGGGAGCGACAGCTGGACGTTTTTAGCCTTTTCTGTTTGACGTGGGTTAGCTTGTGCCTCACCGCCTTCTGAGGCACATATTGCTACAATGTCGCTCAGATGAGGAAACTGAGGTATAGGGAAGATAATTTGCTGAGAATCACAGAATGAGGAAAAGCCAAGATTAACATTCGAGCAAACTTTCTCGACACAATAATTGCAATAACAGGGTTCAAGGAGGGTCCCAAACAGACACAACCCTAACCCACCCCGACTGATGTTTCCAGGTTCGCTGACACATGTCTCGAAAAAAATATTTAAGACTGGTCAGAAAAATCACGGAGATTTATTAGAAGAGGTTAAGTGGTGAACACTCAAACATTGTGCAGGCCTTCGAGGGAGAGTGACCCCTTACTGGAACTGGGAACTTTTACACTTCTGGAGGTGGGAGCTGGGAATAGACCCCACCCCTACCCCCACAAGGTACTGGCCCATATTACAGGTATGAGCCTTTTTTCGTTGTTGTTTTGATTTTTAGATGAATAAGCATTCTTTGAATTGTCTCAATCTGTTCCCATTTTATGATGAGGTTCCGGCTCCTTCCTTTCTCAGTTAAGCCAATTTATGGACTCTCAGTGTTCCTGAGGGATTTTGGGTGTGAAGGAAATAAGCCTAAATTTAGCCAGAGGAATTCGGATAGGGGTCACCTTGGGTGATTTTAGTGGGTTGCAGAAATTGCAGTTTTCTTAAAAGTAGTTTTCCGGTTATGATTTCCTTGTCTCTTTTCTATCTTTTATTTCTTGTATCCGACCTCAGTTATTAGTTTAAACAGGTTGTTGTAGGTGTTAACTATGGTTCACTTTCTAGTAATTAGTAGATTAAACATTTCTCCCACCTGGCTTTGATTTTTCATGGGAGAGCTACATACCCCAAGGCTTTTTGCAGATTTAAAAGATACACTTGTAGGTATGTTTTGAATGTTTACTTTCTGCTTTTTTTTTTTTGAACTGGGGATTGAATCCACAGCCTTATGCTTCCCAGGCAGGCTCTTGTGCTGCTGAGCTAAACCCCTGACCCTACGTTCCACCTCTTGATGTGTGCTATCATGACATATCATGTTGCACTGTCTATGAACATGAACACCCACGCTGACAAAAGAAAAACCTTAATAGAGTAATGGAAAATAAGTGAGATGCTAAATCAAAAAGACAAGGTAAAACTTGATGTGTGGTACTCTGTGTAGAAACTGAATTTCAGCTGGGAGGGAATTTTAAAAGTTACTCAGTCATTAAAAAAATAAAGCTAATTAATCTCTTTACTTTGCTTTAGTGTACAGTAGGCCAATCCAAAAGAGATTAAATGATTGACCAGAGTCTTAAAACTGAACTGACTATCCAAGGTTGAAGTGTGTTCGCTCCATGGTATTAACATCCTGACACTCCATATCCCCAAATCGAACCTGATATTTATGTACAGTACTGAAACTGGCAGGACTGGAGTTGCAGTTTCCACTTCCTTCATCCGGAAGCTTCTTGTTTTAGTGGCAAAAGCAGCTGCTCTGGGAGGAGCTCGGGTTGAATGCAGACCTCACTTCCAACTATATTCTACTACACAAAGACCTTGGGTGAATTGATCACTCAGCCTTAGTCCTCAGAAAAATGCTCTACCAATACTTTCTGTAAAGAATGGATGATCAGAACAGATTTTACATAACACACTTGCACAGAGTGGGTGCTGAAGAACCAGCACTTGGTTTCCAGAGGAGTTTTGGTCCTATGAGGTAGCCTAGAAACAAGAAGGCTTTAGGGTGGCCCACCTTTGTCTCACACAGGGCTCATACTTCTGCTTGCCTCTCTCCAGGGCCTTCTGCTCTAAGACGAAAGTATGGAGCTGGCTCCCATGCAGTAAGGACCAGAGCTGAACTATGTCAAATGCCTCTCCTAGAAACATGCTAGGGTTTTGGTGGTCTAAAGGGTGGAAGTGGTAGGATGACAGTGTAGGAGGCAAACTGATAGTGTGAAAGTGTAGCTACAAGTCTTCCTTGTACTTTTTCCCTGGGTTTTTCTGGACCAGTCACATAACCTGAGGTCTCGGACTCTTCATCTGCAGAAATGTTTTGTGGCAGGTAAGAACATCCCTTTTTCTCCCTGCTATGAGTACTTTCTTGCTTAAAGCCACTGATACTATTTTAGGTACCTCTGAAGCAGGACCCTTGGGATAGAGGGAATGGTTATTTGAGGTTAAAATAAAACAATCAAGCTTCAGAGAAGATAGCATTCTTCTGCCTCCAGAGGAAGGAGGAGCCCTAATGCTCTGCTTTCCTGGGCAGAGTAGGGCTGCCCAGAATTTTCAGTTTTCTGTGTTTTGCTCTAGGCTCCTGATTTAGGAAGTCAGGGAGGTGGCTTTGGTGCTTGCCATTCTAAAAACCTCACGTCTATCCAAGGCAGCAGAGCTGCCTCAGAGATCTCAGCCACATCTCACAACATCCCCAAACCGAAGACCAAAATCCTAACCCCAGAGTGGACAAAGAACATCTCGGGATTCCTGTGGACCAGTGAGCCCAAGAAGCTTGAAGCTCCAATTCTTCCAGCCTTGGCACAGCCCTGAGGGCAGGGAGGTCGTCCTGTTGACAGGATTATTGTCACTGCAGAGGAATGGGGCCTTCCGACAGAAAGAAGCTTCTGGTAAAAGAAAAAAAAATCCACTGTTGCATGTTTCAGTTGATAGACAAGTGTATTCCTGCCATAGTACTGTCTGCCTGGGTTATATAGCAACCAGAAGGCATTCTCTGTTCTAAGCTAAATAGGATGAGAATTTACACTTCACTCAAAGATGGAGAGGTTTTATGCAGTAATTTGTTTGCTTGGTGGCTATGGGTGACAAAAACAGAGATAAGGGAAACCAGCAGATATTGTGATTCCTGGTGTCACCTTGCTGGGCATGAGTTCCTTGGTGCAGACTTCTTGCTTTTTCTGGAGTTTCTCACCTGGTTCCCTAGTAGGTGTGGACCTAGCAGGTGCTCAGTACACGTTTATGGAGTGAACAAGTCATGAACAAAGCCTACACTGAGGCCTCTGCATTAGGCCTCTCGGTGGTGGCACTGTGTTCCATGTCATCATCATCTCAACTATACCTGAGCCTAAATTAAGGAGCTGCTGAGTGCCTCGTGCAGCCCCCAGCCGTGCTCTCCTGCTCTGGAGGCTTTGATGTAGAATAACATGCTTGGTGTTAAGTCTGTCTGGGGTCACTTGCGTGACGCCCCAGTATTTCCGCTGGCCTCAGTCTGCGGTGTTCAGGCCTAGAACCAAACAGTGGAATTGTGGTTTCTTGGCCCAGTGGGCCCTGGAAGAGTTGATGAGAGATCACACTCAAGGGACCCAGTCTCCAGTCTGGGGTGACTCTGCCTGGTGCCCTCAGGCTCGGGAGTCCACTGGCCATGGGCCTCAGGGATGGGGGTCTGGCCCACTCTCGGCTCTGCTGGGGTCCTCTGAGCCCCAGTTAAAGCACCAGCTGAAGAAGGGATACAGGACAGGCTGCAGGAGAGGTGGTTCCTTAGCCTTGTTCCTGCTTCTTCTGAAACTGAAGACAGCAGAGTGAAAATGACACCCACCTCCACGTGGGGTGGCCTGGCCTTAGGGGAGCCACATATTGGTGCTGTACAGGTCCCGAAGTCAGGGGCGGCCTGGGGTCTGTAACAGTCCGCATGGACAGTTCGGAGGTGCTTCTAACACTTTCACCCCCAAATCAGACTGGCACCGCACACTGAAGGGAGTCTCGGATTGAGGTCATCTAGGCCCGCACATTTTCCAAACTCAGCAGGCAAGATCCGCAGAACTGCCCTGCCCGCGTCCTCTCCGTGCAGTCCCTGGGTGCGGGAGGGGCTCCAAACCTCCCTGGCTGATCCCCCACATCCCCCGGCTCCCTGCCTCCCAGTCGCCCAGGCCGCACCCGCCCTCCGTGCCGCGCTCACGGCTCCGGCGGAGGGGGAGGAGGAGCTCGGGGCGCAGGCGCGCGCTCGCGGGGCGCGGGGTCCCGGACCCTGGCCACGGCGCCGTCCGCCCTGACCGGGACCGGGGGCGGCGCGGCGACTGGTGAGCGCCACCCTCGCGGGGCTGGGCCGGCACGTGACGGGAAGCGGCGGCGGGAGCCGGGCCGAGCCGAGCTGGAGCTGGAGCGGGGCCGGACCGGGCCAGGCCAGGCCGCGGCGGGCCGGTGAGGGTGCAAGCCGGGGCTGGAGAGTGCGGCTAGGCCCAGGCCGGGGGTGGCGGGGACCTCGGAGGGGACCGGCTTCCGAATACCGTACGCCCGGCTTCTGCCGCGGCGCGCGGCCGCTGAGCTTTCCCAGCGCTGGGTCGGGGCGCAGAGATTTGGACGCCCTCCGCCCCGGATTGTCCCCTGCGCTGCGGGACGGCAGGGGTGAGTAGGGAGGAACGAAGGCCTGGACCGGTGGTCCCCAGCCCCAGGTCGGGGTGAGAGCCGCACCGCGCTGGAGAGGCCGGAGGAGGTCGGTGCGCTCCCTGCCGTGTGGCACAGCGGTGCCGTGAGGGACTCGGGCGCCGGGTGTTTGCACCTGCCGTTGCTCTTGCTTGTTAGGGGATCCCTAGGTGCTTCCTGGATTCTGGAAATGGGTTTCACCAAGTGCTTCCTCATGCAGAGAGGCTACAGTGGGTGCTGCGGCCCAGGCAGGGGTTGATCAGAAAGAGGTGCGCCGTCGCACCGCACCCCCTGAAGGTGAAGGCTGGCAGCGGTGAGCAGGACTGGTGGCTGTGACACGCAGGCAGGTGTGCGGGGAGAACCCTGCT